TTCATACATAGTTTAATTCTTGTATTAAGTGTTGGTAGTTTCAGCTGCTCTGGGTTATGCTGAACCGAATAACAATCTTAAAAAAAAAAAAAAAAAAGCAACATGATCTATTTCAATGTTTCTTAGACATGTCTAATCATAGGATTCACCTGGGGTTCTTTTGCCACTCTATGTTCATGTAAATTTCTGAAAGAACTTGTTAAATGCTGATTCTGGGGCCCCATTCTCAGGGTTCTGATCCAAGGATCTCTGGCTTTAAAAAGCATCTTCCTGTGATCTGAGGCAGTTGATCTGAGGCTCTCTACAGTCTTGCTCTTCACACCTGCCACCATAGTGTCAACAGGGATGTTTTAGACATGCAGAATTTCAGTCTATACCCCAGATCTCCTGAATTAGGATCCTAATAAAACTCCCAGRTGATTTGTGTGTGCATAAGGTTCAAAAGACTATAATTCAACAAACAACATCATATCAATTCAGAAATTGGAACAAGTTTTTTTTTTTTTTTTTTGGAGGGGGGAGCTCTTGACATATGCTCACCAAATATTTGTAAGATGAATGTATTTTTATGGAAGACGGACTRAAGAAGTCCCCCTAACTTTATAAGACATAAACTAACTTGTACCAGGCACAGTGGCACATGCTTGTAATCCCAGCAGCTCCAGAGGCTCAGGCAGGYGGATCATCAGTTCAAAGCCATCCTCAGCAAAAGAAAGGTGCTTAGCAACTCAGTGAGACCCTGTCTCTAAATAAAAATACAAAATAGTACTGGGGATGTGGCTCAGGGGTCRAGTGCCCTTGAGTTCAATCCCAGTACCCAACCCTCCCCCCAGAAAAAAAAAGTTAACTAACTTGCATTGGCAAAATCTGAATAAAACCAAAGTCTGGATTAAGTGTAACGGACAGATATATAAAGCTGTTTTATATATTAATCAATAAGCACTTATTAGGTGTTTGWTATGGACCCAGATGTTGCTTCTCCCATTCTATTGGGGATAAAGAAAGCTAATATAGAGACTTTTAGACTCTATATTATTAATGAAATGCCCTTATGCTATGTGGATAGTTGTTTACAACGGCAATTCAAAGAAAGGGAAGCAGACTGGAACAGTAAAAGAAGTGGAGAAGGAGTGGGTGAGCTGGTCAGTAAGGAGTGTGTGGGATTTATCTTGGCTGACAGGAAGCCTTCCCAGGAAGGAGGAACACAAGGAAAGTAAAACTAAAAATGTTCAACCCCCATCACCCTTCCCCCCACACACAAATCAAAATTAAAAATGTTTTTTATTTTTCTGAGGTGTTCTAAAGAGGTGACTGGCCCCATTGTGGCAAAGGTTTAAAAAGAGCTAGGAGTGGAACACTAGAAGGTTATGCAGAATGAAACAGAATTATAGAGCATTTTGAAAGTCAGAAGTAGATCTTGCTATGCATGTGTTTAGCAGATGCTGATTATTTCCCCCAATATCCCTTCTTTCTTTCTTTCTTTCTTTCTTTCTTTCTTTCTTTCTTTCTTTCTTTCTTTCTTTCTTTCTGGTAAGAGGATTTAAAAAAAAAACAAACTCAGGCCTATATCATATGAAAACCAAGACATTTCCAAATCTCCTTCGCAAAGATGATCATTTGACTATGTTCCTGCTGATGAGATAGAAACAGAAGTGTCAGCTGCAATTTCTCTAATGTATCTTTAAAAGATATTCTTTACATCTTCTCCTTTCTGTTAACTAAATAGAGGTAAGGATAGCTGGATCTCAGGTATCCATTTTGGACCTAAAAGTGGAAGTTGTATACTACGGTGAGCAAACATACATGTCCAGTGCCTGATGATCAGGCCACATAACCCTGGACTGCTTTCCTCTAGACTTTAACATGAGAGAGTCTATAAATTCGATGTGATTTTCTTAAACCACTATTACTATACTTTGGATTTTTCTGCCATGCATGAACAAACCTAACTTGAACAAATAAAACATGTAATTCAAAGTTTAAAAAAAATGCAACCAGGAACTGCTATGATTTGAATAAGTGTCCCCCAAATGGCCATGGGTCTGAGGCTTGGTCTCTAGTCTGTGGTGTTTTGGGAAGGTGGTGGAACCTTTAATAGACAARGCCTTGAGGACTTGTGGGAAGTCTTCCTATCATTGGGAGTGTACCCTTGAAGGGGATACTGGGGCCCCAGCCCCTTTCTTTTCTTCTCTAAAGTGTCCTGACCATGAGGTGAATGGCTTTATGCCATCACATACTCCTGCCATGATATGCTGCCACAGGCCCAATGCAGCAGAACCAATCAGTCATGGATTAAAACCTCCAAAACTGTGAGCCAAAATAAAGTTTTTCTCTTTATAACTTGATTTATCTCAGATATTGGTTACAGTAACAGAAGCTGGATAACCCAGATATCATCCCAGTTCCACCTTTTACTAACCCTATGACCCTAATATGTTAGCTACCTAATTTCTCTATGCCTTTGTTTCCTCATTTGTAAAGAAGGGAGGAGGTCTCAGAGGGTGATTGTGAGGAGCAAACAATATTAAATTTACACAGGACTGGTGCATACTATACTCTTAATAAGTATGCTTTTTTTTTTTTTTTGCAATACTTCAGATTTAAACCCAGGCGTACTATACCACAGAGCTATATCACAGCCCTTTTTATTTTTTATTTTGAGTCAGGGTCTCACCAAATTTCTAAGGCTGGCCTTGAATTTGCATYCTCCTGCCTCARCCTCCCAAGTCACTGGGATTATAGGCCTACACCATCATGTGTRGCTACTATTTTTAATTATACACAAGGGTAGGTCAGCAAATCAATTTGGAACACGATGGTTGTGGAAATTTTGACAGAATTTACATCTAAAAGATTGGCATGGCAGTAGCAGACATTATAGTTTGGAAGGTAAAAGAAGCAGGAAAATATTTTCAAAGTCTCAAGTCTGGCCTATGGCATTAGCAGTAGAACTGAAGCGGATGTCTATTGAGCCCCTTGTATGTGCCAGGCACATTCYAGGATTTAAATCCACAGTGATAAACAAAAACACACATGGTTCTTATCGAGTTTACAGCCTGGTAGGAGAAGCATACATTAAATACTAATGAGTAATCCTATAATGACATACTCTGATAAGTATCCTGAAGGAAAGGAACAGAACATTCTAAGAGCTTGTATCAGAGGGATCTGACATAGTAAGAGAGGATTAATTAAGATACGAAGAATGAACCTGAGTTAACTAAGTGAAGGAGAGCAGAAAGTACATCCCCCAAAGGAAACTGAAGGACAAGGCCTATGGTGAAAAAGTAAAAACACACAGGTAAATTCTTGAAATTAAGGTAGAGCCAGCACACCCAGAGTGGTGAACCCAGAGGATGCCAGCTCTGAGAGAAGCTGGAAAGGTAGGTAAGCACCCTGTAGGGCCTCACAAACTACCAGGAAGGCTTTTATTCCAGGGGCAACTGCTGCCTTTATTGAGGGTCATTTAAACTATCTCAGATCAATGGTTTCACAAGGAAACTGGTCTTCTTTATAGCCTACCAACCATACCTAACACCAAGCAGGTCTGCTATAAGGAAAGCCAAGAGAAGGGGCATGGGGGTAGGAAAGATGGTGGAATGGACAAACATCATTACCCTAGGTAGATGTATGATGACACAAATGTTGTGACTCTACTTTGTGTACAACCAGAGAAATGAAAAATTGTGCTTAAAAAAAAAAAAAAAAGAACCTGGATATGCTCTAAAAGTTTTTGCCTCCCACTRGAAAGTGCTTCAACGGTTTCCACGAGTGATTTGTTTAAAAATTTTTKGTAGAACTGCATTTCTGGAAGTATTTTAATAACTTGTTTCTGCATATTCCAAGACTCATGTACTGAAGATAGCTAAAGAAATTATTGTTTACCTACGATTGTCATTGTGRTTTGTGGTAATTTTAACATTCTTTGCAAGTTGTTCCAATTTTTTAGTAGATATATAGTTCCACCTTTTTAATTGTGGTACTCTTTTTTGCATCAGAAAACTAACTGATGGCCTTATCAATAAAAGATTCAAATTGTGAGCCAAGAAAAAATAATGAAAAAAATTGATGTTATAGAATCAAAACTTATGCATAATTGCCTTTTTGTTTGTTTTTCTCCAGTTATATATAAAGCCTTAAATAAGCCTATAGAAACTTTTAGTGTTTTTTTTTAAATTAATGAAGTACATACATGTTTTCTTTGCAAATTAATAATTAGCATGTTTTAATATTATTAAGTTTCATTCTAAAAGAGCCCAACTATACCCAGTAGCATTTCATGATTTTAACTTGAATGAATTAGTTTTATTATAAAATACAATACAAATAATTTTAATGAAATAATACTGAAAATCTTATGACTGTGACCAGGATACACTTAGATGACTGGGGGTCAAGTGTATCAGCAGCAGGAGCAGATGTGCTTGTCTACAATAAACCCTGCCTTCTTCTCTGAGGATAATTGATTCATCCAAAACAGCTAAAAGGCTGCTCCAATGTCTAGACACTCCAAAGAAGCTGAGTTGGCGATTATGCAGTACCCATACACCAGCAACCCACCATCAGGGTCATCTTAGACCTTGTCACGACCCAGAACTGCTTCAATTATGAGATCTTAAGCCCCATTATTCCCATCTCTGACCACAACTTCCTGTTCTTTCAGCTCTCACTCTCTCACATCTAGACCTTGAAACCCACCACTCATTCTTTTCCTCCCACTTCTCCTCTGGGCTTCTCTCACCTCTCTAATCACCTTGATCACAATCATGCTCACTATTTCCTCAACTTGCCCTTCCCTAGTCTTTATCTTATATCTGCCCAGCAAACTAGAATGGGCCCTAAATCCTTTTTTGTCATACTCATATTGAGGCTGTTGGGCTTAGTTAAAAAAAAAAAAAAATCACACAGCAGAACTCAACCATCCCTCTGAGTCATTTGGAATCTTTTTATAGCTCCCTAATCAGATTCCTATCCTGTTTGATTCATTTCTTATTCTTTTTCAAGGGAAAGTGCAAATTCAGTACCCTACTACCACAAATTATGCAGTTGAGTTTCCTGCATTTGGAGAAATCACAAGGGTCAGCATATCTGGAGTGCAATGGGTAAGATCCACCCTGGGAAAATCACCTATGTGATCACATTATCTCCCCTGTCAGGTAAGTATCCGTTTGTCTCATTTCAAATATAATATATTTTTAAATAGATGTCCCCAACTTATGATAGTTTGACTTATAATTTTTTGACATTATGATGATGCAAAAGTGACATGCAATCAGTAGAAACTATACTTCCAATTTCAAATTTTGATATTTTCCTGGGCTAGCAATATGTAGTACCATATTCTCTTGTGATGCTGGGGAGCAGCTCAGAACTGCAGCTCCCAGTCAGTCGAAGATCAGAAAGGTAAAYAACCAATATTTTACAGTATGCTGTCTTGCTAAAGCTATGATATTAGATGGCTTAGATGTATTGCAAATATTTTTTACTTAGATGATATTTTCTACTTAATGATGGGTATATCAGCATCTCTTCTTGAAACTCAATGGAAATCTTCTCCCCTCGGTCTCATCAGAAGTCCTTACTTTCCTGCCCCAAAGTAGAAAGCCATCCATAGCCAGCTTTACATGGTTTGAAGTTTTAATTCATGTTTCTCAATTCACATTAAGCCAAAGAGTTACTTGAACTATCTCAATTTTGTTACTATTTTTAAACAATCTAATTTCTAAGTAGTCGAGAGTACCTGTTGAGCATGTGATAGGAAAAGATACAGACCCAAGGGTTCTTTAGATATGTGTATACATCATGATATAATTAAATATATTTGGTTATATATAAAGAAATATGTCCATATAAACATATAGTAATATGTGCAGGGCATACATCAGCTTTATTGAGATGCAATTCGAATATTACACAATTCACCCATTTCAAGTATGTAACAGTTTTTAGACATTGTCATCTCATATATATAAGTATATTTACAGAATTTACAGGTTTTAGTATATTTACAGAATTGTGCAACTGTTAGTAAAATCCATATTAAAATGTTTTCATCATCCCAAGAAGAAACCATGCATCCACTAGCAGTCAGTCATTCCTTTCCCCTATAATTACCTAGCCCTGGATCATTGCTATTCTATATTCTGTCTMTTCTATAGATTTTCCTATTCTATATATTTCATATAAATGGACTCATACAATATGTGGTCTTTAGTGTTTGGCTTCTTTCACTTAATATGTTTGCAAGGTTTGTCCATGTTATAGAATGTACTGGAACTTCTTTTTATTACCAAATAATATTCTATTGTCTGGATATACATACATTTTATTTATCTATTCATCAGTTGATAAATGTTTGGGTTGTTTCTGCTTTGGGGCTAGTATGGATAATATTGCTGTGAACATTCATATACAAATGTTTTGCATGGACATATGACCTCCATTGTCTTGACTATTTAGGCATGAAATTGCTGGGTCACATGGTAACCCTGTGCTTAATCTTTTGAGGAACTGCTGTACTAATTTCCAAAACCACTATACCATTTTATTTTCCCACTAGAAAATTATTAGTGTTTCTTTTTCTCCACATTCTCGCCAGCACGTGTTATTTTCCCTCTCTTTGGTTATCCTTTCCTAATGGGTGTGAAGTGGTAGCTCAATGTGGGTTTGATTTGCATGAGCCTATTGCCCACTTGTATATTTTAATTGGAAAAAAGTCTGTTCACATGCGTTGTCTATTTTTCATTGGGTTCTCTTTTTATTTTTGACTTATAATATTTCATACATTATAAATATAAGAATAGGAAAACATACTTTCAATATATATCTGCTTCAGATATATATTGTAGGTTTTCTGTTTTGATAGAAAAGCCCAAATACTTAATTTGAAAATGTCTAATTTATCTATTTTTCTCTTTTATTGTATGCACTTTGGGGTTACATCTAACCATTGCTTAATCCAAGATCATAAAGTTTACAACACTGTTTTCTTTTGACAGTTTTAGTCCTACATTTTGAGTTAATTTTTATATGTGGTACAAAGTAGGGGTTCAATTTTATTATTTCATATACGGCTCTCCAGTTGTCCCAGAACCACTTGTTAAAAACAAACAACAAAAAAAAACTATTCTTTCTTCATTGGATGGCCTTAGCACACATGTCAAAGTCGACTGACCATCAATGTGAAGGTTTATTTCTAGGATTCTCAATTGATCTGTATGTCTCTCCTTATGACAGTAGCATGCTATCTTGATTATTACAACTTTGTAGTAAGTTTTGAAATTAGGATATGTGAATCCTCCTAATTCATTCTTTTTAAAGACTGTTTTGACTAGTCTGGGTTCCTTGAATTTCCATATGGATTTTAGATACGCTTGTCAATTTTTGCAAAGAAGCCAGGTAGAATTATTTTTTAAAATTTTTGTGTTTATTTTTTATGTGGTGATGGGGGTTGAACCCAGGCCATCATGCATGCTAAGAAAGTGCTTTACTACTGAGCTAACTCCCCAGCCTCCAAATAGAATTTTGATAAGGATTGTGTTATAAATGCCTGAGGAATATTGTCTTCTTAACAAAATTAAATCTTTTTTTTTTCCAGTCTGGGAATTGCACTAAGCTATATCCCCAACCTTTTTAAAATTTTTTGAGATAATTTTTAAAACTACCCAGTCTGGCCTTGAACTTGCCATCCTCATGCCTCAGTCTCCCAAGTAGCTGGGATTACAGGTATGTACCACCATACTCAACAATATTAAGTTTTATCATTTATCGAGATCTTCTTCAATTTCAATAAAATTTTGTAGTTTTCAAAGTAGACGTTTTGCACTCCTTTTATTAAATTTATTCCTAACTATTTTGTTTTTCTTGGTGGTGTTATAAATAGAATTGGCTTTCTAATTTTAAGATGTTTCACAGCAAGTATATAGAAATAGCATTTATTTTTGTATGTTAATCTTGTATCCTGAAACTGTGCTGAATTTGCTTATTAGCTCTAAAAGTTTTCCTTCAGGCAGATTCCTTTCTTTGTATGAAATCATGATACCTGCAACCTGAAGGATCTTAAGAATGATAACAACGACTGTGGTGGGGMGAGCTGGGAGTGGCTCTTCAACTTTTCAAAATAGCAATGTTCTTTTTTGCTGAAACCCTGTCATTTTTCTCAGTAGAAAAGGACTGAGGGTGTGGATCAATAGTAGGACACATGTTTAGCATGTGTGARGCCCTGGGTTTGATTTCTAGCATATCTTTTCCTATCTCTTTCCCTCTCCCTGCCCCATCCCCYCACTCCCCACACAATGAATCTCTCAACAAAATTCTTTACAAATTACATGTCCACTGTGTAGACTTGAAAAAAATACATGTTTTTTACCTCAAGCATTGCCCTCAATCTGCATGAATACATGATTTCAACAAACTGTCAATATTGATCCCAATCATTCAGGAGATAYGATGGTTTAATGAAAAGTGCTTGATATCTGGAATTGCAAGATTGGTTTCCAATCTAGCTCAGTCTGTATAAGCTGTGAGACTAAAACCTGCTTAATTCACATACAAGATATTGAGGGTCCAATGAGCCACTTCTTTAAAAAAAAAAAAAAAAAAAAAAAAAAAAAAATATATATATATATATATATATATATATATATAGTAGTTGAAATATATATATATAGTAGTAGTTGAACACAATTCCTTTGTTTTATTTATTTATTTGTTTTTATGTGATGTTGAGGATTGAACCCAGTGCCTCCCATGTGCTAAGCAAGTGCTCTACCAGTGAGTCACAATTCCAGCCCCTAGTGAGCCACTTCTTTATGCTGACTTCTGGGGCTAGGTGTGTCCTCTGTGCAGAGCCCCCAGGGATAGTGGTACTAGAGGAGGCAGGACTGACTGTGCTGACCCTTGAATAGTGCCTTCCTGTTTTTATTGCTGTGATTTCCTTGGTTTTATCAGGGATGATTCCTTTCCTACTTAAACTGTTACGACATTCTACCTCTTCAAGGAAATCCTTCCATGCTAAGGGTAGATCTATCTTTGGTGAAAGTATCTCCGGATTTCACTTTGTTCAGTACCTGGGAGCTGAGGAGGATCTAGAAATCTGTGATGGGAACATCACAGTAGAGCTCTGAAGGGAAAAATARGTTTTAGCCTTATCTCAGTCACAGAACAAAGGCTTTGTCCCCAGGATGGATTAGCAGAGGCAATCCATCTTATCATAATGCTCATTGCATTTAGCTGCACCACTGCCTCCTTCCTTTATGTCATTAAAAACTGATTTTATAAGAGGTAAACAACATGTCAGTTTTATGATAGGCATAGCCAGTATTCTTAAAATATGGTTGCCTAGCTAGGCTCAATAGCAGAGTGGCAAGAGTGTAGTCCTAGAGCTAGATTGTCCTTGGATTTAAATCCTGCCTCCATCTTTTAATAGCTATGTGACCTTCATAAATTATGTAATCACTGTATGCCCCCATTTCCTTATTTGTAAGGGGTATAATTATAGTAACTCACAAAAGTTGCTGTGAGAATTGAATTGTATTTATATATCTATATTGCTTATCACATGATAAGCACATGAAACATTTTAACTAGTCATAATAGACTTCAAGGCATTTACTTGATTAGGCTAAGAAAATGCACTTGTTCAGCCCAGGCTGTAGCTCAGTGGCAGAGCACTTGGCAGAGTGTGCGAGGTACTAAGTTCAATCCTCAGCAGCACATAAAAATAAACAAATAAAATAAAGGCATGCTATCCATCTACAACTACAAAGGAAAAAAAAAAAGAAAGAAAATGTACTAGTCAATAAAATGATATGAAAGCAGTATTCGAAGTTCACCCCACCCAGTGGTTTTCAAACTTTAGTATGCATAATAATCATCAAGAATAATTTTTAAATGAAATTACCAGGCTCTACCCGCTAGAATTTCTGATTTAATAGTTAGTGACACATCTCATGAATCTTCACCTTTTTTTTCTGATTAAAAAAACAGTATTAGTAAGCAATCATAATCTCATTCAGAAAAARCCATTGTCAAACAAAGTTTGGGCTCATGTGGGGACAGGTTTTTTCAATATGGTTTGAATTGTGGAAAAGAAAAATTTTTTCCCAGCAGGACAGGAGTGGGAAGCATATTGATATTGACCAGACAACATACATTTCTGAAGAG